GTCTATTTTTTGACTTGTGAAATCTATTTAATACGATTTTTAATAAATAGAATGCAGTCTTATTGATGTTGGTTGTTTACTTTTAAAGCTCATATTTGACGGAATTGTTGACGGTTAAACGGCAATAATCGACGTCATAATGTAGACTTGAAATATGAAATGTATAACGAATGCACAATGTGAGGTACGATGTAGGAGTACGAGGTACATAAATTAAATAATTTACGAGGTACATAAATTAAATAAATTAAAAAAATAAACATTTTGAAACAGACTCAAAAATGTACAACGATCAATGGAAGCAATTTAACATTGAAGAAAGATACAAATATAACAAATGTTAGAGAAGTGATTAAAGAACAGAAATGAATGCATACAGAAAAAAGAATTAAAGATAAAAATATATATCCATACGTTTAGGAATAATTCGGAAGGCTATATGCGAAATATATATATATATATATATATATATATATATATATATATATATATATATATATATATATATATATATATATATATTTCATTGAATAAAACAAACAAAGTGCTTTTATTTAGTTTTTTATATAATTTCTCATGCGATCTAATCATTCTTTTCTTTTCAGATGATAAATTATATAAAAAACTGTCCGAATGTTCTTTTTATCCGAGCGCTTTCGGCTATACATTTAGCCATTTTTCTGTTAAATAAGAAATAGTTTGTTGCATGTATGTATGTATTTATATAGTGCTTTCATTTTTCAAAACACGGTCAACATATTGTGTCCATGTTCATAGTTAATATTATTAAGTGTTTTTTGTTTTTTTGCTTCCATTTGTTTTTAGCCTTCTTTGGCATGTAGATGATGCTATTGTATTTGTGTTGTCAACAATTACGTTACGAATAGTTTCCGATAGGTCTCCATGAATATTTATATGAGATCTAAATGAATAAATGGTCAGAAAGGTGTATAGTGAGTCTGCGTGTATAAAAAAATTAAATGAAAGCAGTCGTAATCAATGAAATGTCCATAAAATAAGATTATAATTTAAATTGAACACACAACACAACAATTACACACACACACAAACACAATTGTACACACACACACATATATATATATATATATATTTATGAAAAAAGGCAATCCGTTATGGGCAAACCTAAAGAATCTTAAAAAAAAAAAATTTTTACTAAAAAGTAAACTTATATTTTAAAATAAATTTATTTTCTTTTTTCAATGTACTTTCTATGAATATTTTTCTAACCGACTATTTCATAGAAAATCCCCAAAATTTTAAAAAGAATTTAAATCACTCACATCAAATTAAATTATTTGTAGACAGTCTAGAGACATTCACATTTATATCAAACATTATAATCTTTATGAATCCTCAAAATAACACTTTCAAAGTAAAACAAAATAACAGCGTCTGTTTCATTTTTTTTTTTTTTTACAAAAGAAAATTAGTGACATCTTCTTCTCCTTAACTTCCTTCCCTCTTTTTTCTCTATGTAAATTTTCTTCTCTACCCCTTCGATACCAATATATAACTTCCGTTAAGTTAACCGTTTAAATGTGTCAATATCTGCTAACTCACTCATGTCTTCTCTCTCCCCCCTCACTTCCTCACTTCGTTAATTTACATATGTTTAATATGGCCCGTCAAAAATGTGTAAATTTCTTTTCATTTTTTGTTTGGAAGTAAAGTCTGATGATCCGCAGTCCTTTTAAAGGGGCTGTGGTGAAATAATTTATTACATGGAACCTTAAAGTGGTCTGTTTTTATTTAAATTATTTATATATGGATTTATATTGAAAGAAAACTGACCATCCTCCTTAGGTTTACCCATACGGATTTACCTAGCCGTTTATAAACTATATATATAAATAATATATATATATATATATATAAAATGAAATATATATAATAAAATTAAAATTGAATGGGTAGTATAAGTTTAATGTAATTTATTCATAAAACTTATACTTTTCAATTTTAATTTCAATTTAATATCAAGTATAGAATTGAAGAAACCGGAATCCAATTCTAAACAGGAAACAAATTCATAAATTTTCTACCCTGCTGAAAAAATCAGGAAGGAGTATAAACCGGACGATAATTCAAACCTCACGTAAAATAATGTAACCAAACTGGAATTCGAACATCGATTTTTCATTCCTAGCAGCTATTTATTACACCACCAGCACAGCATCACACAACTAAGAAAAGAAAAATGATATAAAATTTGATACTCACGGGATATCTTACTTTTTATAAAAATTGGTCTAGATTGTGTGTGTGTGTGTGTAACTTGTACGTTTATATATTAAAAAAAAATCCTACATTTTCAAATTGATTTCAACAAAACTTCACAGGACCTTACAAAAAAAAAACCTTGCGGTGGTTGTGAAAGCGCCAAAAATTGGAAAAAAATACAATTGTTTTTGCACGAAATCAATTTGAAAACACGATTGAGAGGCATCACTGTCGAGAATGAAAGGGGACAACTCATATCGAGTTATAAAATTATGAAACCCAAAAAGTATATGTGTGTTTGTGTTCATTCGTTTATATATATCAAATTGGATTTCCTACATTCCTACATCAAAAAACGATTAAGTCACCATAATGAAAGAAAAAATACAACTCATATCGAGTTATACTTATTAAAAACCCAGGTTGTTTGTTAGTGTTTGTGTTCGTTTATATATCGGATCGGATTTCCTTCATTTTTTTTTTCATTTCAAATAAAACTTCAAGGAATTAATTTTTTTTTTGCAGGCAGTGTTTCTTATTGTCTTTTATACACTTTTTAGGATTTTTTTACATTCAGAATGCTTTAAAAATTCCATTTACAAGACAATTGTTTATAATAAAATTCTATTCAATCGGTAGACTCATAACGATTGAAAACAATGTTTTTCTTTGAGTTCGGGTTTGACCAATTCGTAAAAAAAAAAAACTAATGTGTGTCCGTCAACCTTGAACAATAATCTTTGTCAATTTTATTTTTCAGTCTTTATGATGATCGATAATTGATCTATCTCTTACTGTTACATCCCCGGGTAACGCCGGGCTCTACTGCTAGTCAAAACTAAAAGAGGTAAAGATAAGCTGTAACATAGCTGTGTAAATGGGTGGCAGAACATCTATTTTGGACGGGTAGTAAGGAGATAAATAATACTTAGAGTTAGAAAGAATAGGAAGTTGTAGAGAGTCATGATCACCCATGTACTGAACGGTCACAGCACATAAGACTGCCAAGAAAATAGAACTATATAATTAATTACCTCTAGACAATATAAAGATTTGTCATGATTTACTTCATGGCCTTAATGACAATTGGTTAACAGTTAAATAATAACTATTCATTTCCGAGCATATATGTCTGTTAGAACGTCTGATCAGTCCATATTGCAGACACATTTATATATGTTCAATGCTTACAAATTCCATCTGTGGTTTATACTACGGCTATGCTAATTGGATCTTTCTCACCGTCTCTGGAAGAGCTCGAATAACCTGGTTTAATCCACTATTTGAACAAGGCCAGTATGTTCAAATTACGATGAATTAGCACAATTATCACTGGCTTCCAAAGAGTATCACAAAGAGAATCTAGTATCACTCAAAAGGCTTGGACCAACTCATAGGTATCATTTTTTAAGACATACTAAAAGTAAAATGCCTGCTCCTTCACAAAAAACAAACCAAAAAACAAAACAAAAAACAACAACAAAAAACAACAAAAAACAAAATAGAAACACGGAACCTAAATCAGATTCAAACAGTAAGAAGACAAATATTACACAGAACTACAAGGATCTTCTATCTGCGTGGACGTATTGATTATATATACACAATTTTTCTGTTTATTTACCTTATATATTCAGTTAATAACTTTTGTCATTTTTCCATTTCCTCCAAACACCTTTCTGCCATCGATTCGCTCAAGTTCGCCAGGTAGTTTATTATGCATTGCTTCCCTTTCTCTCTCTTACCTTCAATATGTCATGTGAGTATAAAATTTTCCAAGCCTTCTTTCCTCATTATGTATCCCAGAAATTTCAACTGTCTTTTCCTGCTGCTAAGCATGAGTGTACATATTGTTGCAATTGTTTCTAGACCTTTGTTCTTGTTCACATGTTTGGTCTATTGTATTCTCAGCATCCTTCTGTAGCCAGGATCGCCTATGTCTAGAATTGACATAGCGAATAAGAGTATCGGTTTTACGAGAACCAAGCCAAAGCAATTCTAGAGGTTCTGGAATAGAAAGTTGGGCTTAATAATACTTGATTTTGAGAAACAAAACCTCATTCTCTTCTTTAATTATACAATGAAGATTTTTTTTAAATTAAGAAAAAAATCAACTTCATAATTTCTAAAACTAAGTAATTAATGAAAACGTTCTCTGAAAAGGTTAAAATCTGTGTTTAAATAATATTGCACTATATACAAAGTCTGAATATCTAATTGCAATACGAGTAGAGTGATTCACCTATCGTCCGGTTCACACTCTTCTCCGGTCTTTCGAACAGGAATAGCGGTTTATCTCTTGCTTTCTGTTTAGGACTGTGTTTCTGGTTTCTTCTAAAGTCTTCTCATTGTCTTTCACTACCAGTTTCCAATTCTAACTTTTATGATATTCTCGCCTTTAAAAATTGAATTGATAAAAAATTCCTCAAAAAATGGTCAAATAATTTCAACTGCTAGCTTGCACATATGCTGAAAATTCCATGGAATAAATTTTAAGGAAAATGAAACAAAAAAAATTGTACTTAGAATCAAAAAATGCCGCATAATGTGGAAAGATAGCTTGGAAATTTTGACACTTACAGAACATATTAAATGCAAGAGGGGAAGAGAAAGAGAGAGAAATGACGAGATGGATGGCAAAAGAAGCTCTCACACTATTTTGTTTACCTACTGACTTTTATTATTTTAAATGCAATAAAATTAATGATAATGCTGTAATTTATTTTGCAGGAAGCCGAGGTAACCTAGATTATGAAGGC